CTGTGAATATAACTACAATCCAATGCTTACTGACCATTTTGTTCTTTGTGCAGTTCCTTAAATCATAGCTTAAAGTTGTGACTAGTAGGGTGACAAAAGTCTGGTGTATAGACAAGCACTCACTAATGACATAAGATGACAGTTGTGAAACGTAACAAATTGCCAGTTGTAATAAAAACCTTGATGAACAGTCAAACTGGATTCTTAACAGAGCTGGGATTGAGTCTTGATGGATAGTTTTAAACCAAAACTAAACAGTTGTTCAGTTATTCGCTCCCTAGTCCGAATCCCGGTGGGAACAATATCACTCACTAGGTAGCAGGTACACCCAGCTGACGAGTCCCAAACAGGACGAAGTGATCATCCTGGATTCCACTGCTAGCACTGATCCATCATTAAGATAATCAGAACGCAGGCAATATCGAGGCATCCGCACAGGATCCCAGATGTCCATAAAGACCGGTCAATTCGGTCTAATCAGCGACGGTATGACATAAAGACAATTATACCCAGTGGACAGGTATTTTCACTATTTTTCAAATGATATCAGTCGTTAATGAAATCTATGTTGAAAAGAGTAAGAATCTTGGTCAGTATTCAATTGACTTTTTGTGTAGCAGTTGATATAGACATTCAGTCTTAAGTAGATTGTATTTACACTGGTCATTTTTAGGTAATCAACACTAAGGCTAGTGTTTGCTCAAACTCACAAAGCATTTTATTGACATTAAAATTATTTAGATCGAAGTTAAATATAATTTCAGTATATTAGTCGAAAATATTACTTAATAGCAGTTATGACATATTCATTAGTCAAACAGAATTAACTAAATTAGTATAAGTGACATCGAGGTTTGAGCGGAATGCTACTTAATAACTTAAATGTTGGTACCGACCTTGATTGTTTCAAATATATTGCTAAGCTTTATGAGCTACTGAGCATCAGTCAATCACTTTATACATCTAAAAAATTACCAAGTTGATGCATATCTGTGATAAACATTGCTGTATGATAACAACCATATACTGTTACGAAAAAAAGTAATATTCATTATACAGCGGGGTAACTGCTTGCTATCCTGGCACGCTGGATACAGATTTCCTTTCTTGGTTCTCAAACGTTCATTTTAAAAGCACTTCAAAACCCTTCATAAGGTTTGAAGCCATCACATATGATAAAATGATACTTTCCGTCACTAACATTTTGTGAAAAATATTCCTTGACATTGAGATACAAATAAACATCAGTTATTTGACGAGTTGAGTTAAACAAAGAGTTGAACCTAATAGATAATTCAAGCGTCTGATCATTCACCATCGGATTATTGTTGAAGACTATATTGATAAAATCTTAATAGGAACATCTAAAGCGAATTCAATTTGAGTCAATACTGATTAAATACGCATACAGATAAGATGAAGATATTTGTGGAGAAATGTATTATTATGAGTTGCAACTGTTATGAAATTTTTCCCATGATTGATCATCATACAGTCTTGATCTGGGGATTAGGATTGCAATAGATTACGAATTTCATTGTTTTGGTTAATATGGTCATCAATAGAGTATGGATTATAGCTTGTTACAACCATTCCCCTATATAAATTTGAGTAAGTACGTGATCTATAAAGTAATATTTTCCCTGAGAAAAGTTAAACCAAGCGAATTTCCTTCACTGAAATACAGAAAATAGGTATGAAATCATCAGTGGCAGACTATATATTCCCACGACTCATTTTGTTTTACTAACAACCTTTGTTCTTTAAGACTTTATACCTCACCTTATACGCCTACAGTGGTTATATATTTTTTGTGATATTACTACTTATAAAACTCTTCTTCTCATTATAACTATCAGCAGTTACACTTTTTTGATTACTTATCTTGGTAAACCTCCATTACAAAAGTTTCAGCCCTATTTTATAAAAGCTGCTTTATCTATTTGAGAACTGATCATTTAAATTTTTCAGAAAAACTTAATCTTTGTCGTTATTCAAATATGTATTCATTGGCTTATTTTGTTGAGGTACAAAGAGTCCTGTAAATTTAGTCAAATATCTCTTAATCAGTGTGTTCCATAGTAAGCTGAAGGAGACGATTTTATATCTGTAACCCTTATACATTTGAGTTGTTTAGTCATAAATATGGATTAACTAGGCTTATCTTATCTGATCTATTCTTGAAGAACTTATTGCAAGTGAATTATTTTAAAATAATAGGGGGAAATTACTTAATTATGCATATATATATATATGAGCTTAAGTGATTAGGCATACCTGTAGGGAACGGAAACGAGCTCTTTTAGTGAAGTGTTTGTAAACTGAAGTTGCTTTTGCAGAATCCAATTCAGTAAATGAATGAGTGGATGAGAAAAAGGAAACAGATATTTAAATACAACAATTTCTTATGGATGTTCCTGCTAAGAAATGCTCAAAATATCCCTTAACGATCTATTTTTGATTTCAGTGGTGTTAGAAACAGTATGCCAATATATTATTTTAATTTACTAAACCTTGATATATGCTGTTAGGGTGTATTTCTAATGGCAATGAATATGATATCAGAATTTTATAGTGTGAAGTAACAGTAATGAGATATCCACTACTTCATTCATGAACCTTTCATATACGTTTCTGATATGTAAGAAAAAGAAATTTGGCCACAGATTATTTGGTCAAGAACTCTGAGCAAGGCAAATAAAGGTATCCATTGTGGAATGAAATGAATTCATTTTATTTAACTGACTCCAAGCAGTCAAAGTACCTACGAGTTATCAGTATTATCTAATTTCCAATGACATTCAGTTTTAAATTGTTTGTGACTCAATGACATCTATGAAATAGGAATAATGCATATGATGCTGCAGACGCTTAAGGTTTACACTTTGTTCAGAAATATTTCCTATGACCAGACCAAGACATGTCATCAGTCCATGAAGTCTCTAACTGAGACCTGTGTGGAGGTGTAGACTATCTTGTTGATGGCTTTGAGGACGATATAACCTAGTGGTTGGGGACTGTTAGTGACAAGTTTGAAAATCAGTCACTATAAGGTGTATGAATTCACTCTCTTACGTCTTCTAAAGCTTGAATATTTGTATTAACTCTCATCTCCAAATTGTTTATTCTCTCATACACTAATTTCTACTTTGAAATCAGCCTTTTTCTATCCACTCGTTGTGTGTATGCTACTGTTAAGCGTGGAAAATTGAACCGGTGCACTTGTGTGTGGCATTCTGTTTTGGGTTTGTAGGTTTGTCTGTCAAAAATATTTACACCCAGACGCTTAAACATGGATAAGCACTTTTTATTTTTGCAAAACTGTAGGTCTAGGAGTGGTAATAGCTAAATCACAAGAAGTTGATTCTAAACATAGGATTACTCTTAGAAAATTGTGGATCTACACGTTTAAGTAAATAATTCTTACTTATTATTCCATGTGTGCGTTTTAAGTACTCAATAAAACATTTTATATGCTACAAGTTAGTATAGTAGTTAATTACATTGGATCAATTTACTGCTCAACTACCAGTGATGGGAAGAAATGATCGTTATAGAATTATCTCGAATGGAAATTTGGTTAACATTGTATGACTATAAAAGGTTAAAGTTTACGGTTTCACAACAGCAAGCTGATTGTTCCTTTTTGCTGGAAACAGTAATACAGCGATTTATGCAGATTTTATTGTAAAACATAATTAACATAATTTTAGAATGAGCGTAAATCCAACAGTGATTTCACACTCTATGCATCGGAAACAAAAATGTGTAAAATTTAACATCTAATGAGTAATATCAGTGTTCTTAATGTTTGATGTGTAGTTTAACGACACCTACTACCTAAATCTTGTCATTGATTTCTTTCTGTATCCGTAACTCACCTACAGTGAGCTAATTTTACGTTCGTAGATCCTCCAGATCTTGTTTTGCTTTTTTTTCCTTATCAGCAGTACTTTGGGCCAACATTATCCACAAGAGGCTTTGATTTGATAGATCGATGAGGACAAAAATGGCTTCGTTATCGAGTATCAAATCATTTATTTCACTTAGTTTACAAATTAATCTCTTCCCAAGAACATTTTACTTATAAGTGTTCAGTTTACATGCTTTGATTACATGGAACAGCTGCTAAGAAAATTACTTTCAGATTTACACTGATAACATAACAGACTGTTGGCAGGTAAAAAATTAAAGCTATTTATTTAAAGCAGCAACCACTGAATCATATGTGTAAATGTTATTTGGTTTGTACTACCTTCAAAGTTAGGCAAAACCGTACAATCCCATTTGTCATCTCTATTGGCTACAAAAATCAAGAACTTTTCTACTAGAAATCACTTCTAATAATTAATGGATTGGAACTGAGCCAGATTAGAGTGTTCGAAGTAATCAGTATATTTAAAATGTGATGTGATTGAACTCAGAATTCATGATGATTTCTTTGTAGAATTATATTTTGGACAATAAAACTCTACTATCATTTGTTAACGATATCTAAAGTTGTGTACCTTGAGAGATTCTGACGTTCAGACATACAAATAACTGACTGTAAGTAAACAGATCATTCAAAAAGATGATACTTCAATTGAATTGAATATTCAAAACTTTGAGAAGACATGAAAACAGTCTCAACCTTCTTTATATTTTGATCAATGTCATTATTTTTCTTGCGCATATGTTTAACAGAGGCTGTTTGCTGGCGTTGGAAGAAAACTTTTCAGTATGATTTCATATCGATTAGGGTACGGTTACTATGGTATTCAAGTGTCCGACGGTTGACATCAAAGATTCTTCATTTACAGTTTTACGAAAACCGTTGGGCAGAACTTATTTCAGCCTATAAAAACAATTGCTTATACATTAGTTGACATGAGACACAGAAAATCAAATTATAGATATATATATATATATATATATATATATATGTTACGTGGGTTTTCGCTTTCATAAATTATGTTGCACTAAATCTGACTGAAAACTGTTAGTATATTTATTCGCAAATGGGCAGGTATCTTGATTGCTGTCGGTATCGATACGAGGATACACCTCTTGAAGCCGGAAATCAAACTGTTCAAAATTTAAGAAATACCACAGCAATTGATGGCGATCAGTTAACTTGTAAAAACGGTGTGCATAGATTTTTGGATAGCATGACATCAGATGACAAGTTTAATTCTTTCAACAACACATTACATGGTCTAACTTCTTTTAGTCGAGAATCAAAGTATCAGAATCGAGAAGAAAAGGCAGGTGTTTGGATTTCATGATTATGAATTATGATTTTGGTCATAAGCTGATTATTATGTTAACGACGTGGTATATCAGGTAGCTTTAAACTTGATAATCACACGACGCACACAGACATCAATTTGGAATCATTCATTTGGTGTTACTTCTGAAAAGGAATGCAAGGTGAATCCGTCCAGTAACTTTTTATGGTATTATTGCATCTTTTATTGATTAGAAGGCTTGAATGTTCTGAGGTGTACGTCATTAACCTACCAGGTATTTGATAAGTACTCCTGTGAAAATTTCCATCTTTTGCCTACTAGACTGTTTAGAAAGTTCTCAAAAAGTTCATGGGATATTTTTCTCTAAATCCTCTATGAAGTCATTACTTCAAGTGTAAATAAATTTATAAATAAGCGCAGAAATTTTTCAGAAAAAGTAGTCAACTGCTTCAAATTGATATGTTTAGCAGTTTGTTCTGTAAAGTGCGTAAATAAAATGTTCACTGATTGAACAAGTCAAGTTATTTGATCCACAGAAAGTCTTTTGTTTTCAGAGGATGTTAACAGTATTTTGTGTAATAACTTGGAAATGTAATTAAGCTTTTTATGTTTTCTGAAAGTTTTGTTTATAATTTCGATTATTTCATTCCACAATTAACGTTTCATGACTTGACGATCAAAAGAATTGACTGTAGAAATGATAAGTAGTCTTAATATTTTTACATAATCAAAAGGAGTGTCTTCAGTTAATTCAATAGTCACTAAAATTATATCGTATCAATTGTAACATTAAACTTTTCATATATTCATTTTATTTAAACCTAAACTCTTCTCTGAATTCCTTTTAGTATTCATTTATTCTTCTGTAGGCCCTGGAAAATTACACCGTAGACCATAACCAGGCTTTAAATGGGATATATGTGTGTTGGTTACGTATAAAATGATAAAAAATGACATTCTCCTGTTTGTTTTTCACTTTTGCTTAAAAGTGAAACTGTTTCTTTCAATCTTATAACCAATCCAGAAAATAATGTCATTAAAAAGTCAAGATATGTGATCTACTGGTAGGTTTATTTATGCTGTTTATACTAAACGTACGCTAATATATATATATATATATATATATATATATATATATATATACATTAAACGTCACTTATTCCAAAGTTTATTTTGCACTGTTTATGTCATCAAGGAAAACTGTTTCCTGTAGACATTACTTTTGGTTTTTAGGTGAGAATGATTCTTATTTGTTGTTATATTGTTTTATCGTATTACATACATTTTTATTACCGTGCCTTTCAGAAGAATAAACTCCACTTTTGTTTAACAAATGATGAGATTTCTAAAGTGATCTGATCAATTTTAGATTTTATTTGTTCATTGACATATTCTATCGAGCACAGGAGTAGTAAGATCCCCATTCACTTGATTTATTGCATGATTTTACATTACTAGCATTCCAGTAAACCTCGACTGATTAACTAGTTCACTAGTTACTAGCCGGTCCTGAGCACGGGCATAGGGCTAGCAACCCTACCCCATAAAAACAATCCAATCACTAACGAAACTTCAAAGAACGAAGAAATTATAAAAAATCAAAACAAACTTATTCATCTCTAGAATCGGAGAGACTAAATGACGCCGGTTGGTGAAAGCCTTCGGGAAACCAGTCGGCCGAAAGTAGGAATGGGGACATGGAATGTCTGAACAACATTTGAACCTAGCAAAGCTGCACAGATTGCAAAATAGATGGGGAGGTATGGCACAGAAGTGCTCCGAATCTGCGAAAGCAGATGGGATGGAAGTGGACTCTCACGACCGTCAACTGGAAAGTCAGTAATCTACTCCGAAACTGTCACTCAGACGACAACCACGAACACACTGAGTTTTGGAGTGGACATCATGATGACCTAAAAAGCATCAAAAGCTCTCAGACAAAAGGGAACAATCTCCTTCAGGATCAGGATCATAACAGCAAGATTCAACTCAAAAAGGAAGTAAAGTCACTTATTCAATGCTACGCGACAACAAATAATGCAGATCAAGAGAAGAAAAGGGAATTCTAAAGATAACTGCAACCAGTATAGACAAGACTTGAGTTAGCAAAATCCAAATTCTAATGAAAGACATGAATGTTAAACTCGGAGCGGCCAAAATAAAAAGAAAAATAATCAAAGGTCGAGAAGCACTCGTGAAATGAACGAGAATGGAGAACTGTGTGCAGAATTCTGCGCATTCAACTATTTGGTGATTGCAGGCGAGGCAGTGTGTAAAAACACAAGGACATTCAAGAGATAGCGACATGGATTTGATTTCACCAGACAACAGGACACACTACACTAAAGATCAGATCGACTTCATATCAATGTGAAGCAAGTGGAGGCGCAGCCTACTGGACACAAGATGAAGGGGAGCAGATATAGGTGGTTCACACCACTCACCATCTAGTGCAAGGAACCTGCCTGCAAAAAAGTTGAAAGCTTTCTTCACAGAAGTTGGTAAAAGACGACCACAGTTCAAGTTGAACACGCAAAACAGAAACTGAACTGAAGGACGAAACTACAAATGACATCATATCTACCATCGGAAAAAAATGGCAGACACTGAGCAAAATTATTGTAGGATAGGGCGTGGAAGAACACTGCGACTGTGTGAGAGCTATGTGAGAGGAAACTTGAATAACCACATTAAAAATTAAGGGGGAGAGGCGAGACAAAGAATGCATCTCGACGGACACACGGAAGCTGATAGAGGAGGGAGAGGAAGGTAATGAAGCAGAAGAGAGACCAGTGCAGTGCAAGGGTAAACAGAGAAAAGCGAAACTGAACAGAACACATAAAACACTACACTGGACATAGACGTGAAAAAAATACTCGGAAAGACAAAAGACACTTCTGCAACACACTTGCAAGTGAAGCGGAACAAGCTGCGCCAAGTCGGACAACGTGGAAGTCCGCCAGAAGAACTGGAAGCAGACACAGAGACAACAGCGGACATGCTCACACCACTATTAAGGGAGGCTTGAAGGAAGGAACCTAAAGTACCTGCCGATTGAAAGAAGAAGGGCTACCTTGTCAAACTTAGTAAGAAGGGAGACTTAAGTCTTTGCATAAACTGTTGCTGAATCATGCTACTGCCAAGAATTCCATCAAGAAAATACAACACTTATTTTCCAATAGCCAATTAATTCAGAAAGAGAGTTGATCTGAATTTTAAAAGCGAAAATGTTTAACTGGAAAATTTCATAATTTCTTCTGAGACGTTGGAAACTAAAACTTTACTTAAGAGATCTTTTCCAACCAAATTTACTTTTGTACGACGTATCAGGCGATTACAGGGTTTTGATCACGGATGTCTTCGTAGCACTGCTCAGTTTCAGTGGAATCATCGTGTTGGGCATTAGCAGGGAAGGGAGGGGGGGGGAGGTTAAACAAGACAGGGAAGTCAGTTGATGAAGTTTTGTACCTTAATCAACTGAAATGCCATGTAAACATGTACTGCGCGTCCGGAGCAAGCGCCTTGCTTGATGTGTCATGCCAGGAAAGAATAAATTAAATTGGAAGAAGGTTGTGGGTGGCGAGAGCAAAACGTGCTAACAGCACACGTGATGTGGTTGTGTTGGGGGTATTATTTTTCATTATTATTTGACCCCTGGGTTCCTAGTAAATCATAGGGATTCAGTAGCACGCCTCCATTACACTCTCTTCTCTGCAGTTTTTCTAACCTTGCTCCACGACTTCCCGAAAGCTTTCATTTCTTCCGCACATGATCTCTTCCAAGTCACCCTCACCACGGACGCCCAACTCGTCGTTTCCACTCAAGGGACTGGCCTGGTGCGTGACATCCCCGAACGGTCTTCTCAGTGTATGTTCAGTTCAACCTATCTCCACTTTCTTCTACTGCATGTTTGAAGAGCAATGGGTTCTTACTTGGTTCGTTGCAAGCCAGCCAGAGTTCCTTGTTGCTTATTCTTAGTATTCTGACCATCTGATCTCCACCTACAGTAACAAGTGAGTATTGGTGGCAGCAGTTGATGAATGTCTGCAGATTGTTTGGGCATCTTCATCACCTCTGTCTTCTCTACGTTCACCTAAAGGGTGTTCCGTCTTCGCTGCATCGCCTCTTCTGTCAACTTCTTAGTTTCCGTCTGTAGATCTTCGAGTTTGTGTGCAAGGACATTAAACATAAATCATCATCGTTGGCGAAATTCGAATATTCTTCTAGAGTCTTTTCTAGAGTCTTTTCAACAGTCTAACCAGTGTATGCTCATCTTCTCTCTCCTTGCAGTTGTTTGTTGCATGATCCAGTCCCGTCGACCACAGACAGGAAGATCATCGATGATAGTAGGCGCCAGCCTCGTCTTACTCCCGTCTGTCTTCACTTCAAACGCGTCACTCAGCTTTCCATTGTGAATCACTCGGCATGTGGCGTCGCCATATAGCCAGTTGTTGAATGAGGTTGATAAAGGTTTTTGGCACTGAAACGGTAGTGTTGAAGCAGCTGCCTGTCAAATTACGTCTCGGTCGACGCTGTCGAAGGCCTTTTGCTAAATCGATGAGGTTGAGGTTGAGTTGACTGCTATTCTGTGCTGTGTCCTGTGATGATGCGTAGCGTTGCCTTGCGTTGCTGTGCGTTCCGATTAGATCCACACATGATTCAGTTATCCCGAAGCCAGTCAGCCTGTTCCGAACGTGATTCTGAATCCAGTGCCTTTTCCTTCTATTCTCCCAAGGATGATGCGGCTTAATAGTTTGCTCAGTTGAGGTTGTCAGCGGCATGATTCAGCAATAGTTTATGCGAAGACTTAAGTCTCCCTTCTGTGTGAGTTTGACAAGGTAGCCCTTCTTCTTTCAATCGGCAGGTACTTTAGGTTCCTTCCTTCTAAACCTCCGTCAATAGTGGTGTGAGCATGTCCTCTGTTGTCCCTGTGTGTGTTTTCAGTTCTTCTGACGGACTTGTATCTGGTCCTGAAGCTTTCCTAGATTTTCGGACTTCTGTTTTTTTGTTGGAGGATTTGTGTTCACTGTAAGTTC